GCGCTGCAGGAGTCGCTGCTCAACATCTGCATGGACGCCAAGCACCACAAAACGGAGCCGGGGCCCGAGGGGCAGCTCTACGGGCAGGTAGGGACCTCACCCACCGCCACCGGTACCGCCCCGTGTCCCCTTGCCCCAGCACTGGGGCCACCTCCCTGTGGGGCACCAGGGCCACTTCCCTGTGGGTGCTGGGGATAAGCATGGGTGGGTGGCAGTCGAGCTGTGGTTGAGTCCCAGTTAAGTCCCAGTTGAGCTCTGGTTGAGCCCTGGTTAAACCACAGTTGAGCCCTGTTTGAGTTCCAGTTAAGTCCCAGTTGAGCCACAGTTGAGCCATGGTTGAAGCCTGGTTGAGCTCTGGTTGAGTCCCAGTTGAGCCCTGGTTGAGTCCCAGTTAAGTCCCAGTTGAGTCCAGTTTGAGCTGCATTTGAACCACAGTTGAGCCCTGGTTGAGCCCTGGTTATACCCCACTTGAGTCCCAGTTAAGTCTTAGTTGAGCCCCAGTTGAGCCCTGGTTGAGTCCCAGTTAAGTCCCAATTGAGTCCCAGTTGAGCCCAGGTTGAGCTGCATTTGAACACTGGTTGAGCCCTGGTTGAGTTCCAGTTGAGCCCTGGTTGAGTCCCAGTTAAGTCCCAGTTGAGTCCAGTTTGAGCTGCATTTGAACTACAGTTGAGCCCTGGTTGAGCTCTGGTTATACTCCACTTAAGTCCCAGTTAAGTCCCAGTTGAGCCCCAGTTGAGCCCAGGTTGAGCCCAGGTTGAGCCCTAGTTAAGTCCCAGTTGAGTCCAGTTTGAGCTGCATTTGAGCCATGCTTGAGTCCTGGTTGAGCTCTGGTTGAGCCCTGGTTAAACCCCACTTGAGCCCTGTCTGAGTTCCAGTTAAGTCCCAGTTGAGTCCCAGTTGAGCCATGGTTGAGTCCCAGTTGAGCACTGGTTGAGCCCTGGTTGAGTCCCAGTTGAGTCCAGTTTGAGCTGCACTTGAGCCACGGTTGAGCCCTGGTTAAGCCCCAGTTAAGTCCCAGTTGAGCTCTGGTTAAGCCCCCACTGACCCCAGTTGAGCCTTGGTTGAAGCCTGGTCTAGTCCCAGTTGAGCCCCAGTTCAGCTGTGGTTTAGACCCAGTTCAGCTGTGGTTTAGTCCCAGTTGAGCCGCGGTTGATCCCCAGTACCCCTGGCGCAGTGCGTCCTCTGGAAGGACAACGCCTGCTGCACCGCCAACACCAGTATGGAAGCCCACCTAGACCAGTCCTACCTGTACAACTTCAACTGGGACCACTGCGGGGCCATGCCGGACAAGTGCAAGCGCCACTTCATCCAGGACACGTGTCTCTACGAGTGCTCCCCCAACCTGGGGCCCTGGATCGACGAGGTGGGTGCAGATCCCAGTTACCCACCCCTGGGCCAAACTGGGCTGAACTGGGCCAAACTGGGCTGAACTGGGCCGCAGACGGACAGCAGCTGGCGCAAGGAGCGGATCCAAAACGTGCCGCTGTGCCGGGAGGACTGCGAGCAGTGGTGGGAGGACTGCCAGGACGCTGTCACCTGCAAGGTCAACTGGCACCGGGGCTGGAACTGGACCTCAGGTGGGTGATGGGGGGGCACTGGGACCCACCCCCAAAAAAATTTGGGCCCCTCTCTGTGTCCCCCAGTTGAAACGAAGGAGGTGGCTGAATCTCCTCATCCTCAGTGGCTGGGTTTGAGGATGGGGTGAGGGATGTGGGCATGAGGTGAGGGACCCCATGGGGGGTACCAAAGCTGGGACTGGACCTCAGGTGGGTGATGGGAGGGCGCTGGGACTCCCCCCAAAAAAAATTGGGTTGTGTCCCCCCGTTGCCACGGAGGAGGCGGCTGCATCCCCTCGTTCTCAGTGGCTGGGTTTGAGGATGGGGTGAGGGATGTGGGATGGGGTGAGGGACCTCATGGGGGGTACTGGGACTGGACCTCAGGTGGGTGATGGGGGGGCACTGGGTCCCCCCAAAAAATTTGGACCCCTTGGTGTGTCCTCCAGTTGCCATGAAGGAGGTGGCTGCATCGCCCCCTCCTCAGTGGCTGGGTTTGGGGATGGGGTGAGAGATGTGGGGATGGGGTGAGGGATATGGAGAGGAGGTGAGGGATTCCATGGGGGGTACCAAAGCTGGGAATAGACCTCAGGTGGGTGATGGGGGCGCGCTGGGACACCCTAAACAAAATTTGGACCCCTCTGTGTGTCCCCCAGTCACCACTGGGGAGGCG